TGGAAATGCCCATTTCTGCATCCTCCACTACCTCCTCCTTAACTCCTACCCCCAAGCTCATCTTCTAATCTCAGGGCTCTGGGCCCACCATCCATCTTTTGAGTGTACTTCTCAGTCACCTTAATCATAAATATGAATAAAAAGCTTCAGAGTCACTTAAACAGATCTGTGTCGCAGCCATCTGAGCTAAAAGGAAGTATTTACTCCAGGAGAAAGCTAACAGCAGAGCAAATGCCTTCAAGCCCCTCCCTCCCATATTATGATGGTCAGTGAGACATCAGAGACAGGTCCTAAAATAGAGAAGCCCCGCCAGCCACCTCTAGTTTTGTTTATATGGGTTACTTCACTGTTACTTCTAGGTGACCAGATGTCATTGCTAATTACACTACCTCTTAATTCTAATCCACCCACGCATCAGGCCCCTCATCATGGAAGCCTCGTCCATTCCTCCAGAATTAAATTAAATTAAAATGCCTGATCTAGCTTCTAAATCCCATGTGCGTGCCAACCCCACCCTTCTAGTTCTTTCAGCTATGCCTTTTTCTAGAAAATGCATAGGCTGTGATACCACGTAATCTGAAACCTGGGTATTGCCTCTTATAAAACATGGGTGCTTCTCTATCTTAGATTCTTCATCTATAAAATAAGAATAGTAATGACATACTTTTAACTTTTTTAAGTTAGTAAACGTTTCTGATGCATAATAATATCTCTTTTTTATATCTTTATTAATATCATAATAAAGTCTCTCCTGGGGACTTGGTACATGTACATACCATATTTTAGTCTCCTTTTACCTCCCCGTTTCATTTGTCTCTCTCATTCTGTCTATCCCTCATTGTCTCCCTCTATCTGTCTCCCCTTTTCTCCCTCTCTTCCCCCCCTTTCAGAGACAAGTTTAATAGTTATAAATAACATAATAGATTCTGATATATATAGTAATTATGTAATAAATAATAGCTTCTACTGATCTATAAAATTTCAAATAAAAACTCTGTTGTCCCATATGAATGCCATTGCTTACCATAGTACTTTTACAAATCTTAGCTCCCATTCTACAAACACTATCTTGCCTATATTTTGAAGTCCACTTCAAACTTTTCTTCGAAGATATATTTCTCCTATGGACTCAATGGTAGTCTTAGGATTATTGTTCACATTTGTAGGGATTCTTATCACGTTCCCGGCACCCCAGAAATATAATAACCTCTTAAGGCAAGATCTGGTCCCAGAGGCATAATTTACAATGAAAAGGGATGCTGTCCTCATCCTGGGCTAGCGCATCTGAGACCCAAGAATCACGGTTTCTTCAGCATTGCATTCTGACCACGTCTTCCTGAAGAAACCGTGTTTACTACATTATCACTGGATAATGTAGTGTTTTTAATTCTATGAAATTTTTAAAAAGTAAGTCCTTTCAACATATCATGTTTCAAACCTTTGTTCTATGTTTTTTCCATAAAATAAAAAATGATTTACTTATGTTCTTTCTCTATACCAATGACTTAATAATTAGCATTACATTTCTGACCTGCAATGTTTTCTAGCAAAGAAAAGTTGCAGAAGAGAGCAAAGGAGACAGCACCACAACACCTCTGTTCTTTTCAGAAACTTGGAAGCAGGAAATAAAGTCAGATCTTTGTGTATTTACTGGTCTATACAAATGTCATATTTTGCTTCAGGAAATACCAAGAAGCCCAGGTGCTATCAAACTGTCTCAAAGTTTGCAACATTCCTTTGGTTTTTCAGCTTTAAAAACCCAACACTTTAGCTGTAAGGCGCACAGTCTTCCATATTGGCTGCCGGAGGCGGTGTCACCAGACCTGGCCTAAAATAAAGCTTTTGCCCCCTAAAAAAAAAAAGAAAGAAACCTTAAATCATTCACAGTCATTAAAATTCCCTCTGGTCTCTTCCTTCTCTCCCTAAACAGCAAAATTCTCAACATACAGGTTTTTCTTGGCTATTTCATGCAAGTGGAATCATTCAGTATATGGCCTTTTGTGACTGGGTCCGTTCACTTAACACAATGTGTTTAAGACTCATCCACGCTGTAAGATGTACTCTATTACCTTTCATTGCCTAATATTATTCTATGGTAAGCTGTATCGCATTTTGTTTATCTAGTATCAATCAATGGATATCTGACCTCTTTCTTGCTTGGGCTATTATATGAATAATAATGCTATGAATTTTCATGTCTATATTTTTGTTTAGGCTTATGTTTTCACTTCTCACAGGCATGTATCTAGCAATCTAGCTAAATAATAACCAATTTACATTTGCTGAGTCATATGGCAGCTCTATGTATGTCTAACATTTTAAAGAACTGCCAAATGCTTTCCAAAATGGCCATACCATTTGACACTCCAACCAATAATGTATGAGAGCCCCAGCATCTCCACAGTCTGGACAATACTTTTTATCATCTGACTTTTTTCTTGTAGCTGTCCTATTAAGTGTTAATTGGTATCACATTATAATTTGAGTTTCCATTTTCCTAAAAGGTAATGATATTGTGTCTTTTTGTACACTTATTATTGGCCTCTTGTGTATATACATTAAGACATGTCTATTCAGATCCTTGCCCATGTGTATGCAGTTCTTACAAATACCTTCTTAAATTTTGTGCATTTTCATTTTCTTAGTGTCCACTGATATGCTGAAGCTATAATATTGATGAAATCTGTTATACCTATTTTCCTGGTGTTCTCACACTGTTAGTGTCATACCAAAAAGATCTTGCACAACTCAAAGTTAAAAAGATTTCTTTCTATGCTTTCTCTCAAGAGTTTATAATTTTTGTTTTATATTTGGGGATATGATCCATTTTGAGTTGTTTTTTGTATGTATTGTAAGAGACCAACTTTATTCGTTTTTCTATGGCTAGCCAGTTGTTCTATCACACTTTTTTCATGTCTCCATTGAATTATCTTTGTGTAATTTACAGACACAGTTCAATTCCAATAATTTATACATCTCCCCCTATACCAATATAGTACTATCTTGGTCATTGTAGTTTTGCAGTAAACTTCAAAATCAGGAGGTGTGTGTCTTCCAACTTTGTTCATTTTCAGAATTTTTTTGGCTATTGTTGGTCACTTGCAATATTAGATGAATAGTAAGCCAGCTTAATCTCTGAAGAAAAGCTTGTTGTGATTTTGATATAGATACTGTTTCATCAGTAGATTGTGCAGAACACAATGCCACTGTCATAACATTAAATATCTTCCAGTTAGTGAACATAGAATGCCATCCCATTTATTTAGGTTTAATTTATTTCATTAATGTTTCTTATGTTTGGAGGTACAAGTTTTATGCCCTTTTTTTTCATTGCTAAATTCTGAAACCAGGTTCTCATGCACGCTAAGCACATGCTCCACCACTGAGCTACACCTACAGCTGATTGTTAAATTTATTTCCAAATCTTTTTAGTTTCTTGAACTATAGTAGATGGAAATGTTTTTCATATTTTCATTTTTGATTCTTCATTGCCAGCATGTAAACATAAAGCTGATTTTTTGTGTGTTCTGAATTGATCTTGTATTCTGAAACTTACTCAATTCACTTTTTAGCCTTAGTATTTTTTTATTCTCAGTTAATTCTTCAGTTTCTAAAATATAAAGTTGTGTCATCTACAAATAGAAATAGTTTTGGGGCTGGGGATTTAGCTCACCGGCATAAGCACCTGCCTTGCAAGCAGGCAGTCGTGAGTTCGATCCCTGGTACCGATAAAAAGGAAAAAGACCAAAAAAAAAAAAAAAAAAAACCAAAGAGAAATAGTTTTACTTCCTCTCTATTGTGAATGCTATTTGTTTTTCGGGTTTTTTGTTTTTTTTGTTGTTTGTTTGTTTGTTTGTTTGTTTTTTTGCTTGTTTGTTTCTTGTTTAATTGGCCTGGCTAGAACCCCAGTACAAAGCTGAATGGAAGTGAAAAATCAGATATCATTCTGTCTGACTGTAGACTTAACACTGAGTATCACACTGGAAGTTCTTTTTTTATTCCCAGTACTGTATGACTTTTATCATGAAAAAATATTGGATTATTTCTGGTTTTTTTTGTTTTGTTTTTTTTTTTTTTTTTTTTACTTCATTAGGATGATCATATATATTTTGCACTTGATTGCACTGATTAATTTTCGGTGAGCTATGCTTCTTTTTCTGGGATAAAGCTCACTTAATCATAGTGTGTAATCCTTTATATATGTTCTGGATTCAGACTACTAGCAATTCACTGGGGATTTTATCTAGAGTCCCATAAAATACTGGTTTGCAGTTTCCTTTTGATATCTTTATCTGGTTAGGGTATCAGTAGCTTGGGCCTCAAAAGCATTTGTTTGATAGGAAGTGTTCCTTGCTCTCCTTCTATTGTTTGGAAGATTTTGTGAAGAATTGATATTAATTTGTCTTTAAATATTCACCGATGCTTTATTTTACAGCTTTGACTATTTTTACCCTTTAAGAGATGCAACACTCGTGGAGTGGTCAAACAAATGTCTACTCTTAGGACCCTGAAATTAACGCAGTGATTTGTGATCTACAACAGTATTGTCACCTTTTGAAGGCTGGGGACAGAGCCCAGGGGCACCAGCGCCTGTCTGACAAGCGCAAGGTCCTGAGTTCGATTCCCAGTTGAAAAAAAGAAAAGGAAAGACAGAGCAGTTTCCTTAACTGTCCTTAAAAGTTTCCCAAGTTAAAATGACAGTGATGACGACGTGCAGGAAGAGGCATCTCCGCGGACTCCAGCGCTCCTCTGCCCCGGCCCTCTCCTGCCCCGCGGGTCTGAGGCCGGGTGCGCGCGGCCGTGGGAGGCGACGCGGAGGACCGTGCCACCGTCTGTCCGGCTGCCGGCAGAACCGGGGAGCGGGGGCTGGGCCCGCGGGGTCGGGGCGGGGCGGAGGAGGGAGCGGAAAAACAGACCGCGTCCCTGGAACCGCGGAGCAGCAACGCCCCTCGCGATAAATTTGGCGCAGCCTCGGCGGAGCGGACTCCAGCTCCGGGCAGCGGGAACCTCGGGCGGCAGCCGGCCACACAGCACCTGGGCGGACCGCAGCTCCGCTCCGCTCTGCCGGGCCGGGGCACCCCATGGGGAGCGGCCCGAGCGGCCGACAGCCAGCCGGGGCGCAGGGCTGGGACTCCGGGCGGCGGACGTGGGCGCACACCCTGGGCGCGGGTGAGTTGCAGCGGACGCCCCTGCCTGGGGGGACCCGGGGCTGGAACGGCAAGTTGCATGTGCTGGTGTCTTAACCGTGGGTGACCCACCGGGAGGCACCGGGGACACAGCAGGGCGATCACATTTAGGGCTCACTCTGGAACTGGCAGAAGTTCCCCTCAAATAGGGTGCGGGCTTCTGGATAGGCTGGATAGGGGCTTCTGGATTAGCTTCGTGCTCCAAATATTTCGTTCTGTTTTCACCCAACTTGCGAACACAGTTAAGTAATCTACACCAGTGGGAGGTAACCCAGCGAACTTTCCTCTGGGGGCTTTTAGATAACCCTTGTCCTTTAACTGTGAGCCGAGTGGGAGCCAGTATCACCTCTCAGGCTGTCCCTGTGAACGTTGTGCTGCTTTGGGGGTGACCTGTAAGGTATTCTCAATCTCTTCCTTGGGTTCCCAGGAGACAGCCCATCTCCCCTCTTCTGTGCCCACTCTCCCTGCCAACTCTGCCTCTGAGTCCGTGCTTGGCACATGGTCCTCAACTGGAACAAACTCTCCCATCCTATTCTGAGGCATTGCTAGGTCCCCTCTGAATCAGAGTGGGTGGCTTCTCGGTTCCCCAATCCCCACAGCCTTGAGCTGGACACATGTGTAGCCAAGACGGGATTTTAAGCCATGGTCGATTGCCCTCCACGCTTCTTTTCTGTGTGGCACCTCATGTTCAAGTTCTCTCAAATACCTACTGCAGTCTTCTAAAGGGTCAGGCGCTGTTTTCCCAGAGGGTCTCAGGGAATCTGCCCGGAGGCAGGCTGCCTATTGGCCTGCAGCCTGTTTATTGTCCCAGGTAGAGCTACCTCTGTACCTTTGTTTGCTAAGGGCCTGTGTATCAATAGCCCACTACCAACCTTTGCAAACCTTTCTTACACAAGTCTGTGTGTTTACTTTCCCCTGTTGTCACATTTGGAACTTGGCACATTGATTTCCTGTGTTATTCCAGGAAGAGAAAGTAACAGTGAAGGAAGGAGAGGATAAACCCCACACCCTACTCTTCTGTTTTGTAACTATTGGGCAACTTGTGTCTCCTCTTGAAGATGCTTCATACCCAACATGATCCTCTGGCATTTACCACCCGAGGGGCCTAGGACCTAAGGAATAAACTTCACAGTCTTCTCTGGAAAAGAAAGCTGTAGAGGCTTAGGAATGTGGCTCAGAAGAGCGATAGCCTAGCACATGTGAGGCTCTGGGTTAACAAACAAACCCCACTTTTTCTAGGGCATTTCCCTGTCTCTAAAAGCCCATGCAGATCATCTCTTGGACCCCGTCCTTCCTCTCTGCAGTGCTTCCTAGAAGCAGTAGGGGCAGGGAAGAAAAGGGACCTGGAAAGGAGACTCCCACTTACCCAGCTATGTAATGTTAGTAGTGTTCCTTTAATAACTCTGAAGATCTCTGTCCCTAAGTTTCCCTCCAGTGATATTAAAAGAATCCTTGATTCTTTTTGTTTCTTTATTATTGCTTAAAGAATAAAATTCTAAAATAATTACTCTATTAGTCCACATTTGGAAGTCTTCAAGTCTGCATAGCCCCATGCTAAATTACCTGCCCTAATAAATATTAAGTTTTCTAGGCATTGTGTCAAATGCCCATTCCCGAATCATGGTTAGCTGTTCCTTGAATGTGGCTTAGGTTCAAGAAGTGGACTCAAGATACTAGATTTCAACGTTTTCTCGAGTTTCATGATTATTTGTTTCAAGTCCATTATCTATCCTGACTGGTCCTTGTTTTCTGACATCCGTGTTCCCTTGTTACAAGGGCCTGAGTTCTAGTTCTGTTCTTCTTTGAGTCAACTACCCCTGTTATTCAACTTAGAAAAACATGAGTTTCCCTCCACAGGCTGCTCCGGTGCCCACGGGAGACTTGACATCCCTGAGATTTACAAAATGTGTCTGTGTTGCCTTTTGTGAGGCAAGATTTCCTGCACCACAGCGTCTGGAGCTAATGTCTTTCCTCCCTGTTTTACCGTGGCTCGGTATTCAGAAAGAGAGAAATCTGGAGATGGTTCTGGCTTCTCACTTTTGTCTTCATTCGAGTTTGGTGTCAGAATTGTATATAATTTAGTTTTGTTGGGACACTTACTGCTGTTGTTTTGCTGTGATTAATTAGTAGCAGTGACTAATTTGAAAAAATAAGAGAGAAAATAAAGAAATAAAATAGCAAATCTCCTACTTACCCAAAGCTCAGGTAAAATACAGAGCTACGAAGAAATTTGAAGCTCAGAGTTTAAATGCGTGGTGCAAGTCTCCTCTGTACCATCTCAGGCACTTTCCAGCAGAAACTGAGAATTGTATTTTGCTTTCAAATCTGTTATAGAGACAAAGATAAGAGTCCTGCCCCATTTACATGCTTTGGCTGCCTAATGGTAACATTTGCCCACCGGCCTCATGCTTATGAATTTACCCCGCACTTTGCTGGATCAGTCATTATTGGGGAATAGCAAAGTGTCGCCAGTAGGCTGGTAAATTAGGGATTTCCTTAGAAATTTAAGACCAAGTGTTGTGAAGATTGTAAAGCTATTTTGATGGCACACTCCGGCAATAAATAAATCTGGGCCTAGAACAACAAATATGATGCAGTATCCAAGCCCAAGTTAGGAACATTTTTTTCTACTCTAATAACCATAAGTTATCAGCATTCATTCAGTCAACACATTTATATTGATGCCTTTCATGTTTGATACCAACAGTGTACACAAATACACAGAGATAAAAATCCCTGTGGTAAATCTGTATTTAATCATTTGAAGAACTCCCAAATTGTTTCCCCAAGTGGCCACATCATTTTAAATTACTAACTTCAGTGTATGTTCCAATTTCCTAACATCTTACCAACATCTGGTATTACTATTAGCTTCACACTGGGTGTGAAGTAAGTGGTACCTCATTGTGGTGTTGACTTTTAATCTGCTTTGAACTAACAAAGCTAAGCATCCTTTCCTATTCCTGTTATTCATTTATATATGTCTCGGTGAAATGTTTATTCAGATCCTTGACCATTTTTAACTTGGGTTATTTGTCCTTTCCTTTTTGAAGAGTGAAGGTTCTTTGTGTTTCTGGGGATGATTCCTTTTAAGATATGATTCCTCCTTTCCATTTTTGTTTATATGAATTTTCTTTCTTTCAGCAATGTTTTATAGGTTTTAGAGTATAAATCTGATACTTTGTTAAATTTATTGCCGTTTTAGTATTTTGATACTACTGTGAATGGATGCTTTTATCATTAATTAAGTTTATTGGTACAGTTTAGCTATACATAATGATCACATTCACCATATGGAATTTGTACCTGTACATGGTATAGTATTATTTAATCAACTGGACAAATAAACTTTTATACACATCATCAGTGGAATGTTCTTTTACTTTTCTTCAAAGTAGTTCTATGTGTTCTCTTTAAAATTACCTGAAGTCATTGGGCTACATGATGTGTGTTTCATTTCACATAGGTGCATATTAAAACAGCATACCAAATACGATAAATATTTGTTCAATTTCTAGTCTAAATTAAATGTACTTTCTACATTGTTCATGATATGAATTTTAGCCTCTAAAAATCAACTTTTTAATAGTTTATTGTATAAAGCCACTTTAAATAAAGATTATATACAGGGACTTACAGTAATATTTAACTAATTTTTTATTCAACTAATTTTGCAATGACTACTAAAACTCTCAAATACGATGTTTCAAAAATTATAAATATTTGCTAGATGTTTCATTTGTTAGTATTTATTTTAATGTCAAATTTGACAATTGGAAATAAAGTATATATTTGGGACAGTGAAAAGTGAATATTGCTACCATCTGTTTCTTGTACTAGCTTAAAGGTTTGCTGATACTGATTTTTTTTTCTATTCACAGCTGAAGTTCACAAGGAGAAAAATATCCCTGTGCATATGGAAATTAAAATATGCAATATCTCTAGACATTTCACTAACAAAAATTTCACTGGGTAGTGTAAATGCTGTGCCTGATTTATTTTACATTATCCTTATAGATCAATCTTGAAGATTTTATTTTTGTCAAATTCTTAAAAGATGCACCATCTAAATGTCATTAGTAGAAATTAATATCTAGCATCTGTTAGTTACTGTTAGTTTCCTTCAATATCAAACAGTATTGTTTGTTTGTGACAGGGTCTCCCTGTGTTGTCCAGGCTACTCACCATGTAGCCCAGGTTGGCCTCGAGCTCCCAGTAATGCCTCAGCCTCTTGAGTGCTGGGATTACAGGTGTGCACCACTGTGCTCAGCTCCAACAGTGTAGTTTTACTGTATGGCTAATGTCACTCTTAGTTTCCTTTCTAACATCTAAAAGTTTAAAAATTGGCAAGCAATGGCTATGCTTTATTTTTTCTTAATTACAATATGCTTTTCTACTTCAAGTTCAGTTCTAGATGTGCTTAAAAGTTTAAATTATAGAATATTTTTTTAGTTTTTGTCACATAATATGTGATTTATTATTCATTTTCTACACATATGGGATGTCTTGTTCATTACCAAATGATGTTAAAATCTCACATAGATCAGTGAATTTAAGTACTGTGGTTAACTACAGAGTAAAAATATTGGAAAACACACCTACAGCTGTGTGCTCCTAAAGAGAATTCATGATTATTAATTTGCTCTCTAATTCTTTAGATATTTTCTCATTTTATATTAATCAAAGCTTTTCTTACCTACTTTGGAAAATGAAGAAATACATCTATGAAATGTACCAACAACAGTAACAGATTCTAGCTGACAGAATAACAGATCTAAGTGACATTAGGTCCTGAGAACACATCAAAGTACAAAAATGATCTTTGCCCTGTAGAGAGTTGGTCAAGCTAAAAATACTTTTAGAAAGGGAAGTCATTCACAAATGTCCCTCCTTCTTTCCTGCCTTTTAGTCCCAGTGGCATGTATACGGTTTGGTTCAAGCCACTTCTGTAGTAACTCTCACTGCTTCCCCCCCCCAAAGGAATAGAGTTCCACTGACAAAACAGCCCACTCCAAGTACACCCTCATATTCCACCACCAAACACTACCAAAGTTAACCCCATGTGCATTTGTTGTTGGTTGTTTTCAGCTAAAGCTACAGAAAATGTTAAATGAATTTTAAGATCTCTGTGTATTAGAAGAAAAATGTTAGAAACTAGTTTTCTAACTTGGTCTGAGTATGTTATCCTGTTTCACAAAACAATGAATTACAGTTGATGCTTCGGTCTTATAATTTAGGGAACTAGAAATTGATACGATTTGTCAGTCTAAAGCAGCAGTGGCATGGAGAGAGCAAAGAAGGAAAGAAAATGACAAAGAATAAAAAGTTAAAATATCAAATCAGTGATAAGGTGTTGATAGGCAAATAAGACAGGAATATTAGAATCATGTGGGATGTGTACCAACTCCCCACAAAAATTTTGATGATTATGTACTGCAAACATGTACTAATAAAATAAATTATATATAAATTATATATATATATTATATATATATTATATATATATATCACCTTATTTTCTATCTCTGTTTCCATTTCCCCTTCTGAGAAGCATCATACTCTGAATTAGGAGCAAGCACCCACCGTTATGTCAGGTAACAGTTCATACACCAGCATTCTTCATTTGACCTGAAAGTTTACTAGAAATAGAGAATCTCATGCCCCATTCACATCCATTGACTAAGAATCCACCTTTTAGTAAAGGTCCTGGTTGATTCCAACATGTGTAATATGTTGTGTAAAATGATTACCCAGAGGTTATTTTCTTGACCTTTTAATAAAGCTAATGTTTACAGAGCGTGTATCCTATCACAACACAATGTTCAGCCTTTAATGTCTTTTACTTAATCCCCATAACAACCCAATAGGATAGCCATTATATTCTCCTCATTTGATAGGTTGGATTCTGCATAGTGAGTGAAACAGCTCACCCAAATGAGGCCACTGATCATGTCAAAATTTAAAGCAGAAACTCTGATCTCAAAGCCTGTGCTTAGTTGTCGGTCATGGTGTTTACTCTACACTGGATTGCCTATTTTTAATACAAAATAATTATTTGAGAATTTATTTAAAGTTGTCATTTGAAATCAAAGTCTCTTCCTCTCACAGAAAAGAAAACTGATCTATTCCATTTTGGTCATGCTTTTGCCATTAAGTACAATAAGGAAGAATTCTAAAAATCCTTGTTTTAGTTGGTAAGCAGTTAACATGATGACAGCACATTCAAGCTCATCAAAATGGATACATTTAATAAGTGTGGAGAGTTTTGTGTCAATTGTACCTCAACCAAGTTTTATGAAAATAATTGTAGCTGGCATGGTTGACATGAGGCTGTAGTTTCAACTACTTAGCAGTTTGAAACTGTAGGCTCACTTGAGTTTAGGAGTTCAAAGCCAGTTTAAGCAGTGCAATGAGGCTGTCTCAAAAAAAAAGATTATGTACTTTTAAAAGTTAATTTTCTTGTATTTCTATTTTCCAACCCATTACCTAAAATTTACCATTTACCTTTGGTTGTTCTAATAATATAAAATTGTCTCTTAAGTAAGTCACTTTTTTCAGCATTCTAATTCAAAGTGCACAATACTCTTTAAGATTTAAATCTAAATGCTTGTTTAGCATGAGCATGGTTTTAAAACTCTATTCAGATATAGTTACCAAGCAGTCAGTTCTCAGAGAACTGTATATTTTAAGCCAGTGACTCCTCAAATGATTCACTTTCTGAAGTATTTCTCCCAGTGCTTGTGGATTCTCTGACAACTGTCAGAAGTGTCTGACACAGTAAGAGGTCTCTTATTTTGACAGTGCCTCATTTGAGTTGGTGGAAAGACGGGCCTGAAGTAAGTTCCCTGGGCCCCTGGTTGAGAGGAAGGGTGTGCTGGCAGGACAGGGCACCTCTGCACAGTGAAGGCACATGGATGGAAGACAGAACTTCACCAGCCGCTTGGCTATAGAACTCAAGATATCCAGGCAGCTCCGACAGCACAGTGTCCAAATTTTAAGTTATAGATTAGGGCAAAGTCAACCTAGGATTGCTGTCATTGGCGTGCATCAGGGGGAAGGGAGGGGAAGTCGTACCTAGAGGATACCTTATACTTAGCAAGAAGAATCTCTTAGTGCTGAAAAGTGATAAAGGGCCAGTGATCATCCCCTGTGGCTTTTAAAGTCCCACCAGTTTCACTGAAGACCCGTGACCTTACGTCTGTGGCAGAACACAATCTATATTAAGATTTCTTTTCTTAAACAGTTTTTAAAATCATATAGCATTTCTTCTAGGAAACTGTATGCAATTTATGATTGTATAATCATAATTTTATTTACTTTTTGACTTAAATTATCCTTGTTATCCAGTTCAAATGCATTTTTCATGCTTCTACATCTACATCGCATGCCCCTAGGAAAAAAAATGTTCCATTAAGTCAGATTTAATACTCTGACTCTCGTCCCCTTTGAATGATACCATTTCCCATAAAGCACACTGAACTATGACGTCTCTCAGCCTTCAACCTTCACATAGTTCATTGGTGCCGCTTTATCAAGAATGGAAAAGAAATTGATGTGATTTCTACGTAATGGTTTCTTGAACATGTTTGGCTTTTGATCTACTAAGAGTGCCAGTAAGAATGAACTGATGTGATTTCAAACCATGGGATAAAGAATTATATATTCATTATCTATTTTATATAAATATACAGCATGTTTCATATGTCATTTCATGGCAAGACAATCTTGAAGTTTTTGAGAGTTATTAATTTAGGTTTAATTTTTTTCTTTATTTTATATCTGCTTTCCAAATTTCTATAACAAATCTCTGTTTTTATTTCTCACTTTCTATTTGTCTTGGAGTTTCTATTACTTTCCTTGTAACTCACACTAGATTTCAAGTCTTAGACAACCCCTTAGTGACTCCCTGGATGAATTATATTATAAATCTTATATCCTCTCAATCATTTTTTCCTAAAATTTATTAGAACTTTACAAAAAAGCAAACATCTTTCATACCATCTTGGTTTTTTAATAGGAGAAATCGTCTTATGAAAAACATCTTTCTCTAGTAAATCTTTATAATATCAAAATTCTTCTAAATTACAGTACCACTAGAGTTAATGTGCATATTTTTTAAAGTAACCTAGCTACAACCTTCAATTTAAAAAAAATCTTCTAAATACGTCCTGAAAAATATTGATGAACATGGTTACATAAATTAATGGTTGCGAAACAAGAAGTACCATAACCAAACTCCAAAGATGAATAAAAAACCCATAGAGATTACTGCTGTACATTAGATGTAAAATGAAAATCTCTGTAATGTAGCCTGAGCTTTAAACCTGAGAAGCTGAATAATCCACCTGAAAAAAGGGCAAAGTTCTGTGCAAGCCAAGAGAAGAATAATGACAGAAAATAAATTCACCACCTTCACATTTAAAGAAATGAAAATCAAAATGTGGAGTTGAGAAAGAATTATTTGATAAAAATCAAGATTTTTAGCACCAGATGTTTGTTATCCTTTATAAAAATCATTTGGTAAATAATCTATTGTGGATTTAGGGTATACAAACAATTTGGTTCAACAATCCTATCTGGAATTTACCTTACTGATATATTCATATAACTACAAAAATGTTTTAGTATAAATGTGGAACTGAAATGTTTTTGTGTTGCCTTTTGGACACAAGGGAAATTGGCAAAAACAGATTAGAACATTAATAGCAGACTTGTTAAGTAAATCAGTACACTGGATGGAGTACTGTATAGTCATCAATGAAAAAAGACAGATTTTTATGTGCTGATACAGTAAGTTTCCCTAGCCTTAGTATTAAGTAAAATTAATACATTAGTATTATGTAAAATTAAGTAAGCCATAGTAAAATTAATTCAGTAAAGATAGAAAATAGCTAAATAATGTGACATTTACAAAGGAACAACATGCGTGTTTATATGCATGTGTGTACACTTTTTAAAGTTCTAGAAGGTAAACTAAAAACTATTTACTTGTAAGTATCCTGGTTAGTGAATCCAGAAACAGAGACAACAAGGAAATAGATGGGAACTTTTTAATTTTATATCCTTCTGTGACTCAAAATTTATGCCACATACAGGTAATACTTCCATGAAAAAGAAAGAAAAGATAATAGTATTTTTTTTTAAGTTGTGGTCCTATAACACTTGTATAAACTTTATTTTTAACAGATTATTTATCAAGATTTAACTTAAATTTGTAAGAAAAAGGGAATCCATTATCATTTGCTTTGCTTAGTAGCCATCCCTACAAAAAGCATCACTGAATAAGACTATACTATTTTACAAAAAAAAAAATATTTTTCTCTTTCTCTAACACATGTCAAGAAGGTAGTGAGGGGAACACAAGCAGGAAGAAGTTAAGGTCCCATGGCAGCACTTAGTACTGCCTGACTCTAGACAAAGAAAATAGGTTCTCATGTGGACCAGATGGCTTCATCCCCTTCCCAAACATTGTTAATGTACGACTTTAGTGCCCACTGTGTAAATTTAAAACTCTGTTCTCGTTTGTGAACCACATTAATCTCTCCTTTTCTTTTCAGATTTGGTGTGTGATAGTTTGATCTGAAATGGCTGGGTTTTTATCTCATTAAGTTTTGGAAGCATCCCAGAAAGTGACCACAAGGTAAGTATCTTACGCCTACAGCATGGTGTCTGTTCATAGTTTTCCCTAAGTCAACAGTGGAGGTAGCACATTAAGCCACTCACATCTTTGTCCTACGGGAAATAGATAGAACAAAGAGAAAAGAATGTAATCTCAGTCTCACTCTGTTCCCTCCAATACGTGGGTTAAAAAGGTATTCATGTGTGATCTTAAATGTAAACAGTGTAAGAATTGCCAGAATATTTCTATTTGCATAAATCATTAAATCTACAACCTCTTGGAAGAGACCCATTGTAGCCATAGGTGATTGCTTGAGAAATGCTCCCTTTTCTGGGTAGGACTTAACAGGAAATGTGCTCTCTCCTCTGCCATCTGGGGGTGGGGTTATCTGTGCTCAGTGACACCCAGTATTCGTTTGCACAATTCTCAAGACTGTAAACGTAAAACACTGGTATTAATTTTAAAAATACCACTATAAAGATCTTTTCTTTCTTTTTCATGGAATACCTGCATGTAGCATATCTCTCAGTCTCATCTCTACAAATTTCTCCTTTACTCCAATAATAAGATACAGGGAAAAGAGTATATGAAATGGGAGGTAGAGGCAGTCTGGCTGTATGATAGGCATTAGTGACAGAGAGTCATATGGCAGGACCTGACATGGGGCAGCAGGATCAGCTGTAAGTGCTTTGTCTGAGCACCCCTATCTAATGAACCTATCTGATATTTTTCATAAAAGAAATCCTTGATTTATCCAATGAGAAGGGAGGGAAGACTCAGCTCAAAAAATAATCCCAAGCCTCAGTTTACCAGAGAAAAGGAAAAAACAGCTTATACCATTCTGAAGATACTGTAATTATGTGTTATCACAGGAGAGGTTAAGTAGGTGCTGGGTTAGGAGACAGAAGTGACTTTACTCTTTGCTAGAGAGTAGCATGAAACATATTCTACAAGGCACTTGGGGTAGTGCTGTGAGGAAACTACTTAGAACTGCCTTAATATTAAAAATACAGCATTCTAAAGAGTTATGTCACTGCATATCTTTAGGATTTGGTTTGGGTTGATTTGAGGGTGTGTGTGCATGCATGCATGCGTGTGTGTGTGTGTGTGTGTGTGTGTGTGTGTGTGTGTGTGTGTGTATGTGTGTGTGCTGGATTTTCAGTCTGTGTTACTTTTGTTGCTGCTTTTGTCTTTAAAATATGCATAAATTTGGGAGTCTGCATGCTTTCAGCAACAATTTAATTGTGGAAACAGCACAATCAAATACATATTCTAGATAAGGAGACAGAAAGATAAGATGCATCCCAAGAGTACTAACCAAGAGTTCTTTTTGCAAAATACCCCATCAGCCCTTCTGTGACAGAAGCAACAGTTCATTCCATGGCATCCTTGCTGGAAGAGAAGCTTGGACCCATCTCCCTTCTCCTATATTTCCAAAGCCTTCATTTCATAGCCTTCACACATTTTTAGCAAAATTTCCAAAATACTTATGATGTTCTACATAAGGATAACAGAACACTTATTTACTCTTTCAGTTTCTCATGCTAGGGAGACAATGCAATGTTTATAAGTGAGTCTGATTTATTTCACTTAAAAGTATGGTCTCAAGTTGCATCTGTTTACCTAGAAATGTCTCAAGCTTATCCTTCTTTATGGGAGAGTAGTGCGCCAATGAAAAAACCCACATCTTCTTTATCTGTTCTTCAGCTGATGGACATTTGGGTTGTTTCCAAGATTTAGCTATTACAAACTGTGCTGCTGTATACATACGTACATATATATTTCTGTGGTGTGATGTTTAGTGTTCAAAAGGAAAGAGTAACTAGGGTAGGGAGGGGGAAGGCAGCAAGAGAAAAGGAAAACAAATTAAGGGATAAGATGGAAACAAAGCTTTGTAAATAGATAGTGAAAGAGGGGTGAAAGGGAGAAGAAGGGATGGGGGAAATAGATCATGTATGGGTACCAGTTCCCTGTGATGAATGTGATCATTACGTATATCTAAAATGTACCAATAAATAGTTTTTAAAAAGAAAAGCAGAGCATTGAAGAAAACATACTTTAAAAATTTTTCAAGTTTTTAAATTTCAAATGAACAAGCAAAGCAAACCTCATCCTAGGAAGGTATTTTTTGTTTACTAAGGAACTAATTCTATACCAACTCTAACACTAACCAGCAGTTTTGCTGTTGGTTTCCTGTAAAATAATCTCTCCAAGGTCCCACCCGAAACTCTGGGATATATGTAAATACAGACTGTTTGTGGAAGGACCTTCTGAACTCTGTAATATCCCTTTAAAACTTTACCGACTTGCAACTACAGAACTCTGATCCCTTAATGATTTTAACTCTCCCTGGACAAACAATTTCAAAGCTTGTTTTATAAGTCCAAAGAGTATATAGAAGTCTAGCTACTTCAAAGTGGGGGAAATCTGATTAGGACATTTTAAAAAAATTTTAAATTTAATGATTTAAAATCTATAGACCTGTATCATACAGTATGGTAGTCATATGGCATATGTGCCTGTTCAAATTTAAATATAAATTGGTTTCGGTGAAATAAAATTAAACATTTAGCTCCTCAGTTGTAGTAGTCACAACTCAAGTGTGCAGTAGACACATAACCAGTAGTACAGATACAGAACATCTGTATCCTTATCAAAATTTATATTGGACACAATACTATAAACAAACTTATCAATAATGTAGTGACATTTCATTGTTGGTTGATAAGATTTTATACTCTTTATTTTAAAAATTCCAGTTTTCTCAGTGTTACCTTATTGGGACTGTATTTCTCAGTAGCCTCTTTCTTTTTCTTATTTGTTATTAAAATTCCACTATTAAAACATGTGGAATAAATATGGCTGGGTGTGTAGCTCAGTGATAGAGCACACTGATAGCATGTGGGAGGCCCTAAGTTCAGTTCCCAGAAGACACCTCCACATGGCCTACACATGGGGCTATGTAGTCTATGTAGTCTTCTAAAGTGAGAGATCCTTGACTTCTTAAAAACTGAGAAAAGTGATAACTACATTTCTATTGTGCTGAATACCAAAATATATGATTGTGCATGTGCGTGCCGATATTCTTGACATCTCCACGTAAGTAAAACTTCTGTAAGGTTTTAGTTTTGCTACAATGATAGACATGACTTAAAACTGGTTTATGTTTTTAAGCAGTTTTGAAAGCCAAACAAAATAAGTACTAGAACACATTTTTATAGAAATGTTCTTGATATTACAAGTCTCTGATTTGATTTATTTTACATATATTTTATATAATATATAATTATATTTTATATAATATATTGTTATATATGTTATATAGTACATATAATATAATGATATTTAATAATATAATTATATATTTATATAAATAAAAATAACATTTATTTTTATAATACATAACATACTCCATATATACATATAAAGTAGCTTTTTCACTCTTAATTAATATAGGTATCCTTATTGTGATATATTCTTCAAAGCATTAGTCATCATTTTCCCAGTGTTATAATACTACTAATGAAACATCAGTCTCAATTACTTCTCAGGTACTTTTACCTAGCAATTCAGTAGCATTTGTTTCCTAGACTAAGGATTAAGCAGGCCAAAAATTACAAACCAATTTGTCTTATTAAAGCATAAGGTTTTAAAAAGTTAGATGTATGGTTGGCAGACAGGCATATATATATATCCAGCCAATATTCCTCTTACACATTTAACATTACCATTTTTATATGAAAACATAAGCAACAAAAGTTTGGGCTGAATTTATAATTTTTAAATATTAGACCCAGAATCTTACTAATGAAAAGAAAGAAGAAAAGCAGCCATTTGTGATTGCTTTAAATAAACAAAAGTAAAATTTGGTTTTTTTTTATGCTAAACAGGTTCACTCTAAATTATCTACTATTTATACAGTTTATCTGCAATAATGTTATAGCTAAATAATATGCCAAATATGCTTAACACATAGCTGATGATCCAAGATAACTACATCAAGTTAGATTATTATTTATATTTTTAACAATTAAAAGAGCTTAGAGAGTTACTCTCTAAATTTAGAAGCTGTTTTGCTGGAAGGAAAAACACTCAACTAGCACCAGCAATATTGTCATCCTCTCTCTTCAGCTAATTGATTGCTCCTTTTAAGAAGACTTAGCAGGCACCTAGGGGTAAGTTTTTAAATTCCAGAAAGGTCTAGAGTATCTCTGAAAAGCAATAATGCACCACAGATCCAGTAGAAGATGATCAGTTATGTGACTAGGTCTTTGATATCTTGCCAGAATTTAAACAAATGCTAGACTCACTCAAAGGGCCCTGGGACAATAGGAATGTAATACTGTGAGCCCAAAGTCCAGCTAGGAGCAGTGTACTTCCTCATCTCATCCAGGGAAAGTCAAATACTTCTGCCCACAGGACAGACACCATAAAGCAACAGACAAAATCGAGCAGAGGATAATTGATGTCATCAACCAAGAGTGTGTATCTTGGCTTCTCAAGTTTTACCAATCCAATGGAGAAACAATGTGGGCTTTTCAGGACCTCATTCGCCCTTTGTGGAGTCAATGTACAAAGCATAATGGGAGAAACAGCTGTCTTCCTTAACGATGGAAAGCAAGGAATCCACTTGGGCTAAGTGAAAGCATATCCAGTTTGGGTAGCTGCTGTCAATAATAACAGCATCCTGTTATATTTCAGATTATCATATAACCATTTTGAACCAGATATATTTTACTCAGCCCTCAACTACTAATGAATGTAGACTTTGTTTCACATATAGTGTGCTTATCCACAACTGAACTAACAAGGAACATTGGAAGTGGTCCTGTGGGAAGTATTGGCCCACAGTGCATCAGCTAGGTTTGGAGCAATTGAAATGAGATGAGGCTTCCCAGACATGTCCCAGAAATAAGATGTAATTAGATAGATTTTATATATATACACACACACAATATGGATAACTATACTATTAATCTCTGCTAGTTGATCAAAAAGAATGGCTTGTGCTTTCATTGTTTGATCATTTTTTCATGCCTATATCTTGTAATCTGAGCAACTACTTTGATGATAACAATGCACAATACATTAACCATTACTAATCTCCTATTATTTTGTTTTGAAATTCTGTATCATCATTTTTATTATTTTTGTTTTAAATTTTTTCAAAATTTAATTATAGAAAATGTACTATCTGAAATAAAAAGTAGAACACAGGATGTACACACCAGTTAACTGCACTGTTAATACAAGTGAAATGCAAATAAATTTTAAATTTTAATTTATTTCAGAGTCCTTATAATATAACAAAATTAATATAATTTAACATGAATACTATGAAGAGATTTCTGTAACTAGATTTCTATCTTTTAGGAAAACCCTTCAACAACTCTCTAACTTCCATATTTAATTAGCCTTTTTCTTTTCTAATTTTTATGGTGACACAATCCTTCAATCTATATTGATTGTAGAAAAAACTGGAAATTATATACTTTTCTCTCTTTCAAGAGAAAGTAGTTCTGGAATCATCTTCAGTAATTCAGTCTAACAATTAAGACCCTTAAGCTAAATAGAAAAATTCATTTCACAGGAAACTTTTATTCAATATATATAATTAGTTTTAGTTAACTTTATTAATGGAATGTTGCAAATCAATTAGGTTTGCAATAATCAGATGCTGAGGACCCAAGAGGGGCCATTTCTCTCACAAGAGGGGAAAGTGATACACAATTTAGTTAGGAAGCAAATGTAATTAGATTTGATGGGTTGAATATTCCTATCCTGATACTGAGTCAGGCACACACCCAAGCCTCAGTACACAGTTAGAAAGAAGTTATATAAAAAAAAAAAAAAAAAAAAACAACAGGGTAATTTAGAAAATATCTTCTTGGCCCTGCTAGCCACAGCTAAAGAAAGTCTTTGAAAATGAAGATAGATGGTTTTCCTCATATTGGAATGTGTTTAAAATTTCTACGTGGAATCCAAAAACCTTTGACCAGGCATTCTGTAAACCCTCCTTGTGACAGTTCCCACCACTCCAGCTCCCAGCCTTCACACACTTACTTAACTGCTGAATCCCAATGACCTTTCAGCTTACAGCTTTTCTGACCCATGACAACAGATAACCCCGAAGTTTCTGTCCTCTGGCTCTGGGATAGGAATATCCAAAAAGCCACAACACTAAGAATGTTTGTAACTTAAGATAATATTAAACACAAGATATTCCTGTTTAGAACTTTATTTTGCAACAGATTCTGCTGCTTGTCATTCTATGAGTACTTTTGGACACTTGTATGTGAAACACTGTCCTCAGCACTAAGGCAGAAAGTTGTGAGCAAAACAGATGGAAATTCTTTTTTGTGGAACACACAGTCTTAGTGCACGAATAGAAGAAAGCAATGCAGTGACATAGGATATGTGTGCCTATGGAAGCATAGGATGGGGCACCACAGCTTTAAAAGGTGGTGCTGAAAAACTCCCTTAATAAGAAAAGAACATCTAGGAGAAGATTGCTGTAGACAGAGGGTGCAGTAAATGGGAAGACCTTGAGGCGGTACTATTACCACAGCTAGTGAGCCAACATCCTTGGAATCATACAGCAAAAGTGACATAAAGCATAGGTGGGTAGGGCCTGCCAGAAACTTAAAGGCATATTTAAAATGGATTCCAGAAGGGAAATTGTTGGAATCTAAAGTCTAAATTGCTTTAAAACCTGAAATGCTTTTAAATATCATGAAATGTTCCCAATTTTGTAGATTTTAAAATGTAATCAGGTCCACAGTTGAGCCCTTACTAGTTAGTTCTATGGAAACAGCTCTAACTTGTAATCACTAGAAGACTGAATTTTTTGTCTGTTCCTTACTAGTAGTTATCTCTGGTGTACTGCAAATACATTTTGCCTGTAGTACCTGCCTGTTATGTTTCTGGACCTGAAAAACACAACGTTTCAAGCAATAGTGAGTTGGAGCACTACAGCTTTGCAAATAGACTATGTGTAATGCAAGCTTTTTCTTCTGAGCTACATACAGCAATATGCTTCAGTCCTAGGGACACCACTAAAATAACTTCATATGCTGTCATTTCTTTTATTTTATCTTCAAGGCCAAAAAGCAAATTCTCAATAAAAAGTTGCATTTGGAATTATATATGTTTCATTCATTCATATATAAGTAGGAATAAAATTTAATGGAAAATTTCAAATCAACTCTAAAAATGTACAGACAGTCTCAATGAGAAGAAATAATTCTTTTATTTTTATTGATGCTTTTAAAATAATCCCCATGCTTTTTTTTCCCTGACCTGCTATTCTTCAAGATTTTCTAATAAGGGTTAGAGAAGAAGCATATTTAGCAATCTGTGTTTGCAGGTTGGAAACAAGAAGATGAAGACTAATAGTTTCTTTTCTGTTAATTTGATTTTCTACAGCTCCTCTCCTACCAGCTTAAGCAAAAAAGTTAGTTACTGTTCCCAACAGATGGAGCCAAAGAAAAGACAACCTGTATGTTGTGATGAGGACTCATCCAATCCCCTGCTCCCCACAACCTCTGTTACAGATGTCCCCAAGAGTAAGAGATGAGGAGTAACAGAAGCAGAATGAAAAAAAAAATTCAACTTCCTTCAAGGGAACAAAACTATAGTGAGGATGTTCTGTGACCTTGAAAATAATGTGATTTCTGATGAAAAGAATGCCATTATGCTTCCTTCCCTCCATCATGCAATAAATTAACATTGTTTTGTGAAATAAGTATATGTGAAGCTGAAATAAGTATATGTGAACTTGGATAAATGAGTATCTAAATACAAACATTAGGAGGTACATTAATATCAGAGACATTTGCCATAAAAACCTGGTTTACCCCTGTATTTTCAAAACATACATGCCCTTACCACTAGAAATAGTTGTTTTGTCAATAGCTATGACATTGGTAGCTCTTTATATGTAATAACTTACTTGACTAAATGTTCAAACATCTCTAAGCCATAGAAAGTTTGTGACTTGAACAACCTTCAAACCACTGATATCCAGATTTGGATCCAGCATATTTTTTAACCTAGATCACAGCTGTACACTTAGTCACTATACAACAATGGTTTTAAACCCCAAGCTTTATTATATTAAAATATTTTTTCAGCAAATTGAGCTAAATTGTGTTCAGAGAATCAGTTGGGAGAGCCAAAGATAGAAAAGGACTAAGACTTCAGCAGGTCTGTGTCCCTTTGCAGGGCTTTCTGTCCCTGACCTCTTGTTGTTTCTCTAGAGCTGCTCATGGCATCCCCTTCCTTCTGCCCTAATTTCACAACAAGTCTACTTGCCTAATCTACAAACTACAAGGAGGCTCTGAAAAAATGTTAAGCTGACAGAAAGATAGGAGATTCAATTCCAAGTTGTTAGCTGGCTCTCTATAAAGAATTATATTCCAAGAAGTACTTCTCTGGTAGAATTCCAGTTCCTAGGGCTAGTTAATAGTACAACTGTGGCCATTTATTTATAACTACTCAGGAATGTCTTTCCCAGCACTGCTCATATCATTGAAAGTATATAAAAGCAGCCTTGTGAGGAACTAAAACGTTCTGAAGATACACAATACATAACCTTAAACAAGAAGTTTTCTCACACAAAAGCATGAAAACTGATTCAAACTGACCTGAACTCCTATATGGGTGAGTGAGTGCCTCTGATTTCAGGAGATATGTACATACCTCTTTTGTAATGCCAATGTTTTCTTGGAAATTGCTACATAAAGGGCAAACTGCAATGTCTAGGCTCTCTCCTCGGAATCAAACCTTTCGGGTTGAGTGTCAGTGTCTGGTCACTGTTCTCTTCCCTACTCACTGCAAAATACAGCAATTCTAATTTTAAATTCCAATAGTACTGGGAGATGAGATTAGTTAAAAGAATGCCTGCAATTTAATCAGTATGCCATCCCTAATTTAAGAAAAAAACTAGTTAATCACAACTTCTTTCAAATTCCTTTCCCACAGATTTTTCTCCTAAAGAAAATACTATGCAGCATTTTAGAGAAAATAAACTTCTCTAAATCAGAAGTTTATAATAATGAAAGGGTTCAAGCATTTTAGGCAAGAGTATGTTTTTTCTTTAAATTTCCTGAATCTGAACAGATTCTTGATTTCAATTATTAACTGCCCCAAAAATGATTTATCTCTGCTTTTCAATACAATAGTTATCCTCAAAGAGTCACAAATGTAAATCATTATTCAGATCAGAAATAATTAAATACATGAGACATAATCTAAATGGCATAGTCTTCTAAAACATGTATAAAAATGTCCAATAGAAGAATGAATTATTTTGAAACTCCCTAATTTGTGATCTAGTGTTTAGGTTGAAAACTTCAAAAGAACAGTTCATGAAGGCTGTGTCACACGTGAACCTGTGTGTGTCTCACAACACTTGGACATAAGCAAGATTAAGGTCACTGTATTATCTGACCCCTTGTAAATGAAGACAAGAAAGATCAGGAAAAAACATTACTAATTGGACACTTTCTGGTGTCTGGCATTATTCAAGCAATTTGTCAAGCAACACAAAACAAACATATCCCCAAGGTCTCTTATTGCCTCTACTGTTTTCATAGAAAATGAGACTAAATTGCCCACATTGCTAGCTAGGGTCAAGACCAAAATTTGGGACTGACTTCCATTCCTTGCTTCCAACCAGTTCTGTCTCAGTGGTAACCCACCAGATTCCTCAGTGCCTAAGAGCTTGTTGTTACTGCTCAACTGCCAAAACAGCACCATCTTTTTCATATAAGTGAACCCGATGCTAGCATTTAATTACAGGTTTATTCTGAGATTGTATGCCGGTACAAGCTGCATCATTTGAATAACAGAAGAGTCCAGAGCTCTGAAAGGGATGTTCCAGCGAGAGGAAAGCAGATAGTTTTCTGTCTCATTTCAGTGAGGAAAATTGCTAATTCATATGCCACCAGCCATAGGCAGAAATACAACCAGAAATGAAGAAAACTTAACTGCTTTAAATAATGTGGTCTGCAGTACAAATTACGGCACTGTATGTTGGTTTCCTTTTGCTGCCGAGTTGATAATTTGGATTATGTAGACAAGCAATGCAAGACATTGCTAAAATTATTCTTAAATCTCAGCTCACGGTCTCTGTAAAACACTAGGCAATTTGCCTGAAAACACACAGAAAAGATATTTTAAAAGGATTGGGATGGCTTATTTTCCCCTCTGTTAAATATTAGCCTTTGAAATGAACCCAGCTGATCTGCCAAATAACACTTGCAAATTGTTGTGTTTTAATAAAGTGACAGACTGAGAGGGAAGCCACACTAGATCCGCTTATGCTTCCAGAGGCGTCACAGGCCAGGAACATTATGTAATAATGCCTTTTAAAAGAGGGGAGGCTCTTATCATTACACCTTGCCTGGCAACAAATGTAGCCACTTACTCCAAATGCAGGTGTAATTAGAATCTATGAAATCTAGCGTCAGAATCCGAACCCCTGGTGCAGTACTCAGTAAATTATAGCTTTTATGTCTGTGATATTTTCTACCATTTCATTTAAATATGTGAATATATGAATGCGTGATACTTCAGGAGGTCTGCTCCATGTTCTATGGGAAGGTTTTTATCATTTCTAATAAGATGCTCTTGTAAATGAAAAACCTCATTTTCAGGCTTCTGGAAGGTTCGGGACCTGGGTTGCTGCTGGCAGAGGGCAAACCCCAGTGGACTACTCCGTTGAAAATCCAGAGTGAGCAGTGAGCACAGAGAAAACCTGGGGGACCCAACATACAATGGGTACCACCAGAAAGTGTCATGACTCTTAAAATTTAACCAGGAAAGCCCAGCTTCATGCATTAGTTTGCAAAATGTTAGCAAATGTTAGTCTCGTAAAGTAAGCCTGAAAGGACATTAATTTTTAAACTAATACAGTCTAACCAATAAAAGAAGGTTTTACTTAAAAGCCTTCCTGAAAGTGATAAAATTGCTGTTTAAGTGAGCTAAGTAAGAATTAATTGTTACTCTATTTTTCTTTCTTTGCAAAAGGAAAATAAATGTTTTAAAATTTAAAGTTGAAACAGAGATCTTAAATGTATGGGGAGGTTATTATGCACAAAGGTGTTGTCCCCAGATTTGTAACTGGCCTTTGACCTCTGTTTAGGACTGTGAAGATGTGCTCAGCTGCCTCCTAGAAATATTAGAGGAGTCCCAGTCTCTTTCCAAATACAAGAGTTCCTGTTAGGTTTTCTTCATTTCTTAAAGTGTTATGATTTTTATTTCCTGGTTATTATCCCTTAAACTGAGAGGTGAACGTCAGCCAGTGAGTTAAGATTTTTAAAAATAGGTAATACAGACCTCTAGTGGTTGAAGGTTTGAGAGCCTTGGCAAGGAAAGGCAATTGTGCAGGCAAGCCCTGCATTTTAAACAGAACCGTTGTTAGTTAAAATTACTTACATGTCAAAATTCACATATTTCATAGAAACAAAGAGAAGCTAGAATATGAGAATGGCTGGGCATGCTGTTTTCTTTCAAATGCTGTATTCTTTCAGATGCTAATTCCTCTCAAACAAGCAAGGACCCTTTGGTTAAACATCCAGTGATATTTTTTCCATAAGTGGAGCTGACAAATACTATGTTATGTGAAATATATTTTATTTTCGTTTGCCCTTTATGGCTTTTGCTCCGTATTCTAAAATCTCTCCCTGAAAGCTGGGTCTGCAGAAGCGCCGTTGCCTGTTCTGACCTCTTCCATCCCTGGGCAGCCACACTCCAGCGATACGAGCTCATGTCCTAAGTGTGGCCTCTCCAGGTTACAGAATTCAATGGACACATTTAAGTAGCTACTAACTATACCTCCAGACCAGTGCATCTCAAAATTTAATGGACACCCAGATCACCCGGAGAATCTTCTTAGAGTACAGAGTCTGACTCCCGAGGTTTGAGGTGAGGTTTGAGCTGAGATTGCTTTGGTCTCAGATTCTGCTGCAGTGACTCATTCAGGGCCACCCTGAGATCAGCAAGCAGGCTGGGTAACATGGCACTTCCTTTTGTTAATTATATTTTTCCACTGTTACTGATTGCTTCTTTTTTCTTGTAAGATTTAATGATGTGTCTTAAAATTCAACTTTTGAATTTATAAAACATTGAAAGGACTCTTTCACTTAACTATGTAAAAATATCTCTGGGAGCTTGTTATTGAAGTCTTCAAAAGCTGTTTTAATGTCTTAAAAATGAATTCACAGACACTACCTTAGCTTGATGAAATCGTAGTGATCGTGAGCATCTCTCTGAGCACTCAAGGTTTGGGGGCACTTTAACCACAGTTAAATATTCGAATGACCATTGGAGAGAGTGGATGATACCATGTTTTATGCAAGTCATGATGTGCAGAAATATGACTGGGGCCCAAAGAACACCCGCATCATAGCATCAAGCAGAATTTTAAAAACACAGCTAAATCCATCAAGGTCAAAAGATCAGAATAAACATAAAAAAACAATTTTTCAGGTCAAATGTATTATAATTCCATCATCTAAATAAATTCTTAGCATAGCATGCCATCAACTCTGATTTTGAAATTCATCTTTTAGAACTTATGTCATGGGGTAGTCTTTAAAAGCCTCTTACAAACTTTTAACATCTAGTTTCAAATCAAAAATAATATATTAACAAGCTGTAGCATAGAGGGAGTACATAAATTATCATCATTGCCCTGCGTGAATAGTAATTCACAGGTTTGGCTCAGACACGAGTTAGATGAAATAATTAACTATGTACAGTACTTAACAGTATAAAAGTAATTAATCTAGCTGCCTCATACTGGTTTGGCCTAAATAAACATGCAGTAAAAAAGTCATAGGATTTTATTATTTTTTTCACTCATGTTATTGCATTAGTAATGTAGAATGTTAACATCAGAAGAATCATTCCTTTAATGAAAAATTTTTTCATTTCAAGTGGTAATGTACTGCTTGTATGATGAATGAATTCCAAATATTTATAATTGTGGGCAGATGTTCTCAATTAATAATTTTATGCATTCTTCCTATTGCACAGTTTACTGAAAATGATTGTTTTAAAATTAAGGTATAAATGAGAAAAATGAGATTTTTATTACTCCAAATACATAGATTTCGTTAATGGTTCTGCAATCCTATGTTGATGAAGCCTTGGCAAAATATTTCAGACAAATTTGGGTTTTGTTCATGGGTTCTAGGTAGAGGGAAGTTGTTTGGCCTAGGCTTTTTAATAACAGATCGAAAGGGAAGGGCAAGGTCATCAGCCTGCAAGAATTCAATAGACTACCATTGCCTAGCAAGAGGAAAAGGATCAGGCAGCTGGCACTTGTGCTCATCCTCCAAGCAGCCTTCCAAGTAGCTGGGGTTACAGGTGTGTGCCGCCACACCCGGCTTTGGTCCTCCATTGAAATTTAATTCATTTCTACAGACAGTCCTTAGCCTGATGTTAAGGATTGTAGCATGTTTTCCCATAAGGGATTCCATTGATTTTTCATTGTAGCATTGTCTCTATATCATAAGTGGACAAAGAAGCAGCAGCGGCTCAGTAGTTCTTCTAAAATCAAACTGTAGATAAATGTAGGGTCAAAATTCAAAGCCAATTACTTCTGCTTCCAATCCTGATGGTGTAACAAAAACTGGGCTTACCTTCTGAACAAAACAATTTTAAAATCCAGACATTCTGTATATATGAAACAGTGGCTTCATGATAGTGGAAATCAGATAACAAAGGGCAGTGATCCCTGCGAGATAGGAAGAGAGGAGCCTTAAGATCATGCCAATTCTCTGTCTGGCAGATGTTTCAGTATATACAGGAAAGGTGAGCCCGAGCAGGGCATTTCATCTCCCTCAATTGAGGAGATGGAGGTGAGAGTCCAATGAGACTAAAATTCACAGGGCAGAGTACCAGAGAAGGGACAGCTACTTGAAAAAGGGCCTTGAGATCAGGAAAGGATACATAAGGATGGATCCTTATGTTTGGATACATCTGAGTAGCTCAGATGCATCAAAGGAATAGAAATAGTAGTCCCAAATATTGTCTCAAGCCAGAAAGCAATTTTTTTCACACCAGCAAAAGTGGAAAATGTTATGATTCCTAGGCATCAGGTAGCACAGTCATATGGGTTTCACCTCAGAACAGGAAAAAAAAATCACTCCTAGACTAAATACTGCTCTGATCTCAGGTAACAAAACATAAAACCTAGGCTCAAAAGAATCAGACTTTGCATTTAACTCAGCTGCTTCCCAGAACAAACCTGGAGAATTTTTATGGAAAACTTCCAATGCCCAAATAAAGAAAAATTCACAGTGTTTGACATTCAACATAAAACTAACAGGCATGCAAAGAAGCAAGAAAGTGTTAGCCATTAAAAAATGAAAAGGAACAGACCCAGTAATAACAGAGTAGAGTTGTTAAACAAGGACATTAAATGGTTATTATAACAGTATTTCAAATGTTTAAGAAGCTAGATGAAAGTTGGAACATAATGAGGTAGAAACATGGAAGATGTACAAGACTGACATAGAACTTCTAGAGATGAAAACTTCACTGTCCCAGATGAAAACTCAAGTGGAACTTAAGGTGCTAAGATCCTACTTGCTCTGCTGCCCCTACAATATTCTTTCCTGAATGATGAGGTTGATCCCAACAACTGCTTAGTATTTGCTTAATTCTAAAATGCTCAGATACCAGCTTCCTTTGCACCGAGGGTTACCCACTGTACAATTCCATCACCACCTCACTCAGCCCCTCCTGGCCTGCCCCGAGGGCATGGACAGCACCCTAGACTGGCATCCCTGAGATTGCTCTGGAAAGTAGTCATCAACAGGCCTCAGCATGGCTCCTTCTGAGTCAGTTCTAGGAAAATTTGCATCATCAGACACTGCCTTCCATCTGTGTTTTCTGGCTCCCCTGAACACCCTCGTTGTAAAAGGCGTGAAATGTTATTTCCTCACATGTAACAGAATTGATTGGGAAGTTAGCATTTTGCCAGGTCCTGGCTCATTCTTATCCAGGGTACTACAAACTGTATAAAATCACAAACTATTTTCTTCCAGCCAACTATGCAGTGAACCAAACTGTCATCCTTCTATGGAATTTAAAATATCCTCATGAGAACTAAAGACTTTCTTTCAACAAAGCTGAAAAAGCAGTCACTTATTTAGAAATTTTTGGTAGAGCATGAGTCCCAAATGATGTACATGCTAGCCAAGGGTTACAGTTAATCAGAAACACTCCCTACACCTCCAGTGCTAACCCTGTGTAACTCCTTCAGTGTATCTGTCCCATCAGTGGGCAAAAGACATGTTCTTTTCTGAACTCTGTTTTCACGTGTATTCTCAAATCTGCCGTGCGTGAATTTACAAAATATATTAGTGTCAAAAATATAAATGTAGCCTTGTAACATAAGTGTGTAGATAATTCTATACTTGGAGCATAAAAGTTCACTTAGAAGCATTTTACTTGATAATGAAACTTTCGTGTATAGCCATCTCATCCTGAACCTGTACCTGATCTTGTCTGATAATGAAACTTTCAAACATAAATATTGTAGCACTTACTACAAATATTTTAAAGTTGCCCTTTCTCATTAGATATATAACCAAGGTCAGTGAGTTGACGTGGTCCTAGGAAATAGGACCTAGGAATTTATGACTGATAACCTTTACACACTGAATGATATTTGTTAAATAATGTCAAGATAATATGCAGGAATACCATGGATTCTATGTGGTATTCACCCATGTGAGATCATCACGTGCAAAGAGCTACTTTACTGCAAAGTAGCTCTAAGAAAAGAGCTTAATTGCCTTAACTGTCTTTCACTGTACAGAAAAAATGAGAAAAGAAAAATAAATTCCTTGCAGCAATACTGAAAGGGGCGATGATGGTATAAAGTCCAGGCTGACCCCTAAGACCTTTCTAGAACACAAGCCAAGCTTTTGTTGTGCACACGCAGATGAGGCAGCCTGCCAGGGTGATGGGCAACACTTCAGCCCATCGTATCTCTATGTGTTTCCCACTATCTTTAGCTCCTGCACCATGGGGAGTTAGTGGGTGTGGAAATGGAAGAAGAGATGCCTAAATTCTTGAAGTCTAGTTCACTATTTAGTATCATTTCAAGGTACTGATGTGGGACGTAGAGCATCTTGCCATGGCTTCTGTTTGCTTGGCTGTAAAATTAAGTGGTTGGCTAAGATGCTAAGCTACAAGTCAGCAACCACAAGACCAACTCTGATGTGATCTGCAGTTCCCTTTAGTTCCACAGTGTTGCTTTCTCATTTGCATTAAAAACATTTTAAATCGAGATGTTTCACATAACATACTGAAGTTTCTGCTTATCTTTTAAAAAATCAGCTGGGCACCCCTTACCCCCAGCACAGTTCCCACATTTGGCTGATGCTGCAAAGAAAATGCCTGTGTGCCTCTGAGAAAAAAACAGTGACCCCTCCATTCTCCAGCATGGCTACTTCAACCATTTCTCTTTTTCCCAGGGCCCCTAAATATTTGATTATGTGAATCCTGGAGCACTGAATTTCTGAACACCTTTCAGCAATAAAATTCTGTGCATCTCTGACTTAGGTTGTTTCCAGGGAAGCAAAAAACTATAGGCTAAAATAGATTTCACTTGACTAATCTGACAGTCAAAATAACATTGGTCATATAAAAATTGTATGTATTTACTAAGACAGAAGGTATATATTTCTTGTAAGAATAGAAGCAACACATTCAATTCATATAGTTTAGAAATCTCTGTGACTTCCTGATGCACATCAAGAGAAAGCTATTCTCCAAACGTAATTGAAAGGCTGTAAATTGCAGAATGACTATTTGTGTGTGTGTACTGTGCTAAGGATCGGACCCAGGGCCTTAACATTCAGCAGCATCTCCAAGCCTTTTTCAGTTTTTTTTTTCTTTTTTTTAATTTTTGAGACAGAGTCTCACTGAGTCAAGTTTGCTCAGGGCTCAAACTTGCAGACCTCCCACCTCACCCTCCTGGAGTGCTGGAATTACAGATTTGTGCCACCACAACCAGTGCAGAATGACTTTTATGTCAAGAGAATACCTTCATTTTTGGTATAGCATCAAGTATGTAATATAGAGAGAAAACAGTTTTAATCTGATTTTTCTCTTGTACTGAGATAGGCAGATTTCTAAAACATATTTTCTCTGAATTGGAACCCCTTCACAGCAAAATATTTAAAATTATTAGCATATTATATTATTCTCCACAAAATTCTGATGAACTCACAAATATGCTTTCCCTATTCTGGGTTAAAAAAAATGACCTAATTTATTTCTCCATTGTCTTATATAGCAATATAGTAATACCAAAAAGGTTATTAGCAAAAACAACATGTTGTATAATTATTAAAGAGTGAACTCTTGAGATCATATTAAAGAACAGCAATAACCACATGTTCATTCAGATAACTCAAGAAAGAGACTTATATGAATACTAAGGGAGCTGTAGGCACAGTTTTTTTTTCTGCACCCTGAATTTTAAAAGAATTTTTGTCACTTCATTAGTTAAAGCATGATTTGGCAACCAATGGTCTATGGTGTGATTTATTTTATTTTATTTTATTGCTTCTCTAAATTAATCTGGAAATCACTTCCATTTTAGATACTCGTTTTCACTCTTTGAAAGCTAAATCTTTACAGGATTACCAACAGATTATATTACCATATTGTTATGTCAAAAGGGCTTCTAACAACCTGCCAGTCTATTACTTAGTCATGTGTAATAATGTGAGAAATCGCATCTGTAAGGTAAAATCTTACCGAGATATTTTAGAACATGTGTAGGGATATACGAGTATTTATTGAAAATATAGGGACAATGATAGTAACAGGTCACAGTTACTGAGTATGTAATATACTCTTTTTCCTCGTGTTTTATTTAACCCTCATATTAACTGTACAAAGTTGGTTTCAATTCCATTTTAAAAATAAGGAAACCAAGGCCAAAAAGTGAGTAAATTAGTTTATCACATGATTAATCAGAGATGGAGCCAGGACCTCACCCCAGACCTTTGTGAACACAAAGCTTGTGGAAGGATTGTTTCCTATAAGCAGACAGCTGATGAACTGCTAACAGTAGCTTGCATTCCCTTTTAAGCTTCTAAGTACAGAATATATATCTCTTGCTATGCAAAGCCCATTGTAGTGACTTATTAAACTTACTTTTATTGTTAGGTAGTTTATCCATCTGAATACATACGTGGAGAGGAAAATCATTTTAAACACGGGTTCTTACAGTATTCTTCCAAGGTCGAGGCAGAGACTTATCAGTCTCATTCCCATTTCTCAGATCAAAGTCCAGTGAAGATTTAATGAGTTGCTTTTGGTCTTAATTTCTGAAAGGCAAAGAAAGCGTCCCTGAGACCATCATCATTAATTCTAAACCAATGTTTGTTCTAAGTCTTTTTAATATATATTTTCTACAATCCAAGTACAATTTTTAGTTTTTGTTTTTATTTTTCATTAGTACATGTTTGCAATACCTAATGATTTTATTTCTCAGGGGGAGTTAGTACACGCACATAACACATGTTAGTTTTTACCCCCTTCCTCTTCTCTCTTCCCCCCTCCATCATCTCTTGATCCCCTTCACATTTGAGAAAGATCTATCACCATATTTCTTATTATCTTACATTTTAGTTTTTCTTTCTTTATATATTGATTTTCTCATATGAGAGAAGCCATGCGATATTTAAGCCTGTTAATCCTACAATAAACGGAAATCCCACTCTATAAATTCTTAAATTATGTTGCTTTTTCATTTAATGCTTTTAGTTTTACATATTAAGATTTGACATCAGCATTCCCCATAATCTGTTCACTCTTAATTTTGAGTGTTTCTGTCGAACTGCTCCTTTATGTTTGTACTTTATAGGCTTTTTCCTCATTTCTGTTTTACCCTGATTATCCAGGACAGACTGTGTGCATCTTTTGAAAGCTCTGATGTTCTCAGTGAAAAGACCTTGTAAATGACCTTGTTTATCTCCCACCGAGTTGCATATCACGACTTCAAATGCTTCACTAAAATGTTACTCGCTTGGCATCAGTATACAGAAAAGGCTGCACTCTCCGATAAGATGTTCAGTAGGGTTTTCGTAGTAAGAGAATAGAGTTCTTAATAGGAAAAGGAGGGAACTGTAATTTCCTCTGACTTAGCTGATCTTTCAAACTTCATGGTGATTTTTTTCTAGAGCTACCCTACAAGAAATTTGAAGAGAATGTAGCGGAAGAACCAAGAAACTATTAATATTGTGGCCTTCGAAGTGTGTGTGTTGGGAGGGGGATTACAAGTAACAGAAAATCAAGCTAAATAACTCAGCTCTGGTTGCCAAATCTCCAGAAAATGTCATTTGTGCCTACATGTGTGCATCCTTTTTCTTTCCCACATTTCTCTACTTGGTTTAATTCTGAACCTTGATGACATGTTATAAATTTAACATGCTACTCCGCAGAAAGAAAAAAACTAATGTAAATAAAACTGAATTTATTTTCAAAATTGCAAAAATCAGTTCAGACCCCAAGGTGCAGATGGGTGCTCTCTCTCTTCCCTCTGGGATGTATGTATGGTGGTGATGCCACCAGGGGGCAGGGTTTGACTTCCGGAGTAGGCGGCTTCCTCCCTCTGGTGGACATTTTGGGACCAGCACAGTAGCCATGGAGCTGAAGTTTCTAGGATGAATCCATTCAGTCTCTCTTCTAGTGTATTTGTGCAGATTTCTGGCATTCTAGAAAATTCTCAGAATCTATCTTTTGTGGGACCTGTAGTTTTCCCTGGAAGACAGTAAATGAAACAAAGCTACCAATAAAATGCAGTGTATAATTAATTCATGCCATATAAAGTAAGAGCTACAAATTATCATAGTTTAAAAAAAAAAAGTAGGGACCAGAGCAGGGTTTCTCAAAGTAGTATATTTTGGGCTAGTTAACATTTTATCACGCATGGTAAAATAGTATTATTAATTGTAAGTATTAGAAGCCAATGCCCTCTTTTAAAAATGAAAAATGTGTCCACATATTGCTAAGTGGCCCTAGAGGGGAAAAAAAAATCACTGCTGCTTGAGAAGCACTGGGATAGAGTACTAACAGAAGACATTACAAAAATTAAAATACTAATAATAGAAGCTTTGAGATATTTCTTATAGGATGTTGAAACTGGAAAGACCTGCTCGCTAAGCCAGTTTTTTCATCTTAAAAATAGAAATGACAGTAACTTCCATCAAAGGGTTCTTAGAAAGATTAAAGCAATTAACACAACACTTGACCCACAGTAAATATTCATTTAATCATAAATGATAAATGGTACCATTAGTATTAAACCATCATTTTGTCCTTCCTAGTGTAAATCCGATACTGGCAGAAATAGAGAAAACTAAAAGTTTTACATTAAACAAGCTTAATTGACACTTGTATGTCAGCTTACGCTCAAGTTATATAAATAAAACATTGACATTTTTCCCATTGACAGAACTAATCACCACAGGGATCCTCTGCCTTCCTTTACGTGCGGGTCAGAGAGCAGTACCTTCTCCATCCCCAGAGGCTAACGTGTAGGTAATGACAAAGAAATAAACTCTTAAGTACTTGGCGATTTCTGCATATAGAAATTCTATGTAAATATTTCTCTGAAAGGAAGTCTTGAGAAAGATAATTTACTTTCACCCTCTTAATTTATTTAAAGACTTCTCCTATCTTACCGAAGATAAGAACTAAAATTAAGTGGGCAGGAAAAATAAACAAAAGAATTCAAACAGCCATGAGCTTCAGCTGGAATGAAGTAAACTGCAAAGATTTTGAAATTGCAAAGGAATTGGGCTGCAGAAGTTCAGCCAAAAACTGTTTGTTTATAAAAAACTAGACTGCGTTAGTATTTCCATCATACCAGCTTATCATCTGAAATTTCTGCTGGCTCAAATGAAACTGTGCTCTTTCTATTTCCTACTGGCAGGTTTCCTCCCTAACCACAATTGCTTTCGGGTTGGAAGCTTGCAACTTTGAGGACAGGAACAGAATCAGCTTAGCTAGCCGGGAGGACAAGAGGAGAGTTTTAATATCTTATGAAGAAAGGGGAGTGCTAGCCAGGACGTTTCAGCACAGTTCAGGAGTTAATGTGGACAGCTGCTGACTTGAACAGTTTTGTTCTTGTTGATAAAAGCGAACATCCAGTGCAGAAAGTGACGGTGAGGAGAAGAGAAATTCCTGTGCAAAGTTAAAAACAGGAGAAGACGAGAGTCTCGGTATGGCACACAGCGTTCAGACATGTCACCTTGTCCTTCCACAGTTGCTACCGTGTGAATACTGTGTTGCCTCACCACACAACCCTTCTAGGCAGAAATGCTATGCAGTGCCACTCCACAAACCAAGAGGTGCATTGATTCCACTTTTAGAGGAGGAACCAACTCTCAGAAGGCAGGGATGGTGCATTCCCTTATACAGCTCTCTCGAAAAGAATTCGTTTTAAACTCCAGCTCAGACCGTGCGCAAATTCAGGGAGTATATTTCCATTTCCAATCTGACACACGACAACTGGCAACTCATTTATCGCTAATGACGTTTTCACAGGAAGCAGCAGTCGCTGGTTTCTCATCTTATTTTTCAGTTGGCAAAGTGTTGTTTACCTTTTATTGGCCCAGCATCCGGGTGCCCCTTATCACAGACTGTTTAATTAGAGATCCCAAGTAACTCAACATAGAAGAGAAGTGGAGCGCCAAATAAAACCAGATAGAATGGTCAAATTTTTTATCGCAATCACTGGTTGTAGTATCATTCTAATTCATATTTTTAAATTGTATAGGATTTAAGAAGACTTATCAAAGCAGTCGAGTGCAAGCAGCTTTTTCATAGTATTTTTCAGCTCCCACAAAGTCCACCTCTTGCTTGAACTCTAGCTTCTTTACTTCCAGCAGTTTCTTAATCTCTCTTAAATTTTGCTTGAAGGAGGAAATAGTCATTTCCACTATAGTATGAATTCTGTAACACCAAAAAAGCCCAAAGCTCTAGGATCTCCACATGCATCATCTCATTTGTTATGTCCAACAACATTATGGGCTAGATTGAATAGACATTTATTTTCATCATCATCTACCGTGAACATCATTAACACTTTGCAGTTGGAAGAAAGGAATCACAGGTTATGTGAAAAGTCAGACAGCCCACAAAGAAGCCCATGAGAAGCAAATCACGTACTGAATTCAGTCAGATCTTTTGGTTCCTGTCACTACTGTTTCTCCAGCACTTTCCCTTCGGCTCTTCCCTGAGTCACTGTGTTCCTTCTCAAGCAGATCTTAGTTCAAATGGGGAGACAGAGGTGGTACCCCACTCATCTCCCAAGGTAGAGAAATTTTAGATGCCTGGAGTAGCAATGAAGAGCATTTTATTAGATGAGATCTGCTGGACTTATTGAGCTGTGCCAGACCTAAATGTGTGAAGGAAACTCATAGTTTAATGACTAATGCCTAAACAGTAGTTAGGAGTTTCTCATACTTCAACTTCTGATGCTTTGTGAAGCCAAACTGAATCACTTTAGCTCAGAGTACTTTTGTTGTGCATTGGATTTGATTGTACCTATTAATCATGATTATCAGCATTTAAACTACACTTGCAAATCAAGATGCCTGCAACGCAGTCTTTTTCAAATATTTGTATGCATCAGAATCACCTAGAGAGCTCATTAAGCATAGCTTGCTGGACCCCACCCACAGAGTTTCAGACTTAGTTCATCCTGGGTGGAGCCTGACGTTTGCATTTCTAGCAAACTCTGGAGTGAAGCTGTCCAAACACCAGCATTTCAGAAGCATTGCTGAACAGCCCAGTTAGAGACCTTGGTGAATGAAGCACCCTGAGCTGTGCTGTCCACAACAGCAGCCTCCCTGGTGGACACGAGCCTGGGATGGTGGCTGTTTAGGTTGTGCTGGATGCTTGAATTCTACTCTGTATTTTGAATCTCAATAATTGAATCTCAGTCTCAATAACTGAATCTCAGTCTCAGTAATTAAATAAATCAATAATTTTCATATTGAAACAGTAGTTTGGATATGTTGGGTTAAATAAAATACATGATCAAAATGACTTTCTCTTTATTAATGTGGCTACTAGATGTGTGGCTTGTATTATATTTCTCTGGACAGTACTGACCTGAAGCATCAAAACAGAGAGTGGTGGGGATTACAGATCTCAAATCTCCAAATCTTTAAATATTCTCAGGGACAAAGAAAACTCTCTGTTTGTTGGATTTGACCTAAGGGCCCAGTTTGTACCCAAACACTTACTGCCACAAGTACTAGCTGAAGAACCTGTACAACATGTACCATTTCAGCTTTTTGTAGTATTAATCAAAGCGTCACTATAATTCTTAGGAACAGTGTGATCGTGAAAAATATTTCTAACCCTGAGCTATTACATGCATTGCTCTTACCTTTGACTATAGATAGAATGGTTACATTTCTCAAAGTGCTTTTGAATCTTCCCAAGAACTTGCTTTGTAACTGTATCAGTGGTGAGATAGAAATGGGGATGGGTGTTGGTTTTCCCATTCTAAATATTTTGTAATATTTAAGGAATAGCGAAAGAAAGGTGGTGTGGCTGGGTTAGAGAAAGCGGAGATGGGTTAGAGACCTTGTGGCTGGGTTAGAGACGGCGCGGCAGGTTAGTGCCGAGCAGATTCTGCCAGGACTCCAGCCCTGTACTTCTCTGCCAGACTATTCTACTGTGTTTCAATTTTCACAATTTTCCTGCTAAAGAAAGTAAAAGATAAAGCATGACAGATACAAGGCTGAGATTTTATATATAACATAACTATGATAAAGAATCAAATGAACATAATCTTTATTGCGTTTTTTCTTAGGATAAAAGTTCCTTAATTCTTCAAAATGTTGACTAACAATACTTCAAATACTAAATGATGCCTTACTGTGAAGCTCTCTGCTAATACCCTGCCACACCTGTATGTTTTCATCTGACCAGCCAAACCACCCTAACAAGTTAGCTAACCTTTGAAAAGTTGTGTTTTCCCACAAACAGTGTGAGACTGGGTCCATTTGGTACAAGTTATTTTAACAATTTCACATTGTGCCTCACATTTCATTGGACAATGTGACATTGATTGCCTAACTACAAGGCACGCTTTTAATTTTGATCTTCAACCATGAGTCATTCTGCCTGTGCCATTTCAGCTTGTGGCAGTGTTACCAGTGACGCCTGCAAGGCTCACTGGCTTTAGCCCTAAATGGACTGAAACGGGTTAGTCTAGAAAGAACTCAAAATTTTCACCTTGACTTCAGTATTGTCAAGCCACAACCAGCATATATCAGAAACATTTCTTTGAGTTTTAAAATAAAGAGGAAAAGGACCGGGGATTTAGCTCAGTGGCTCAAGCATTTGCCTGGTAAGTGTAAGGTCATGAGTTTGATCCCCAATTCAATCCCTGGCACCAAAACTAAATAAATAAAATAAAAGGAAAGAAAGGGAAAAAATCTTATAACCCTAATAGTCTTATATCGAGTTTCTTTAATCATCTTGATGAAGGGTAAGTCTTTTCATTTTGTTGTTCATTTTTAGTGAAAGATAAAACTATTTTCATTTTGTTTTTAGTACAGAAGTATTATGGGTGTATTTTGGTTGGTTGTTTTGTTTTGTTAGTCAGGGTTTCACTATGTAGTTCAGGCTGGTCTTGAACTTACCACATAGCCCATATGGCCTTGAATTCATAGCTGATCCTCCTACAAGTGTTGGCACAGAGTTCTTGTTTAACATAAAATAGTATTAAATTGATGTGATGGAAAACACAAGAAAAAGTAAATGTAAATGGACAACTGATTTTATTTGAAGTATTATTCTTTTTTTTTTTCTTTTCTTTTTCCATGCTGGAATTGAATTCACAACCTTATGCTTGCCAGGTGACACTGTGCCACTGAGCTGCAGCCCCAGCCCAGGATAATCACAGGTCATTTCTACTTGTCAAGTCAAATTGCTCTTGTCTTTAAATGACACATGTCTGTTCAGAAGAACGATTTGAACTTCAGCACTTCCAGAGGATTTTCTAGGTGTGTAACCCATTCCCTGGAAGATACAGATGTCTAAAGAAGCAGAGTGACTGGTTCAAGGGCTCCAAGTTTTCAATTCCAACAGTAGAACCCCAGCCTCCCTCTACATTGTCTAGGGCTGATTTACCGAATATTCCTAGTGAAATCATAACACTGAGCCATTTAGAGCAGTTATACAGTGTATTGAACACTTACTCCATTTGGAAAGTTGTAGTTAGCTAATTTGCTAAGAAGAGGAAGAAGAAGAAGAAGAAGAAGAAGAAGAAGAAGAAGAAGAAGAAGAAGAAGAAGAAGAAGAAGAAGAAACACTTTAGTCTCTAATGAATTGCTATGTGAGCAATAATCTCTAAAATATATTCATAAATACATAAAAATACTATAACAGTGCTACAATTTCTTAAGGGTAGAATTTGGGGAAAGAACACAGTTTCTGCTGCAGAGTGACATTCCCAAAGCAAAAGTGCAATGGTTTCATGTCAGAACGCCGCACTTCGTTCAGGAGTTACACCAAGGAGCAGGTGCGTACTGAGAAGCCCGCCCTGCCACTGCCTTCCCATCTGTTGACACAGAGAGGCTGTGAGCAGCCTTCAGGATCACGTTGTTCCAGTGATTTTTCCTCCCCTCGTGGCCAACATGCTGATCTGCTGAAACGTGGTGATGATTCTAGTGGGGAAATTCTTTAAGTTCCTAAGTTTGGAGAATTTGGGAGTGTAAGAAGACAGGGATTGGTTTGCATACAGGCTTTCCTCCAAGCTAATTTTCATTTTCTCTGTATCCTACTCTCTGGAACCCTTCTCCAGACCCCCAAGAAAGTCTTCCATGACTCTTCATGCTTAACTTATGTTAAGCATATTTTCTACTAATATTTTCTACTAATGCCAGCATGTCAGAGGACGGTATTTAAAGCACATAAATTAGACTTGACCACATATCCTCCATCTTTATTCTCTTTCCTTTGGGGAAATAAAATAAAAACAACAAAATTCAAATGTTTCAGATAATAAGGAGAGGGGAAGTCCTGAGACATTTATCACAGTGAGTTCTTTAAACTATAATTTATAATACACAGGGATTTCTAGAGTGGAGAGAAATTTAATTGTAGTTTATGTCCCATTATTAGATACTTGTTTTGAGTAATTCTCAAGAAGCAAAAACAGGGAGTTAACATTTCACTTTCACTGACATTTATGTCCCAGGCTACAATTTTCTTTCATAAAACTGAGTTCTTTGGGTTTGGGATATTTTGGATGAATCAAAGGGGAAAACTATTTGGGAATGGTAGAACATGCAAGTACCAGAACCACAGTTGGTTACAATTGGTGCATAAAGAATTAAGCAAGCTCCTTGCCTTATTTTCATTTTATGTGATGTCAGACAATGGTGAGGGATACTAACTTAGGAAGTTAGAGAGCTGGAAACATTGGCCATTTACATACATAGGAGTCAGATCTTAAATATTCCATTAGTGTGATATCAATAATTTTAATGAAATAACATTCATACTGATTGAAATATCTACCCAAAAATTGCAACGGTAAGCAAAATTATCTCCAACAAAAGGATTTAACATAGAGCAGTCAGACCAGGATGCCAACCAAGAATGTGGTGTTCTCCTGTGCATCTGACTTGAAATCAATTCCAGACATTTGTCCCACAGTGCCAGGCACACTGCCATGCCCCCTCTCTCCATGGCTGCCAAGATTACTAGCATGGAGGATAAGTGAGGCCCAGAAGGGCTTGGATGTTTCATCAAAAGGCATAACTATAATCTAAAATTTATAGGGTTCAAGCAACTTAAGCATTACCTCCAAATACTGTGTTAAGCAGCTTACAAACCAAACGAACACGATGGATTAAGTGGCATGGAAATTCTCCTTCTGTCTCTAACCCAGAATCCTAGATCATAGCTCTGTGTACAAGTTAAAACCACATAGTCCAGAGAAGGACTAATACTGGGTACAGAGCTGAGGAGAGCTCTATAGATGCACCAGTGTGAAAGTCAGGGCCACCAGAGGCATGTCCTGAAGGGCTGCCAGTTAATGCCAGGAACAAGAAACTACTTACTGTTCATTCCCAAGACTGAAAAGTGTAGTGGACTACCAAGTCTGGAAGTAGTTTGAGGGCCTACCTAGAGTATCTACAAGAAAAAAATCATGAGTTGAAAACTGAGTTCACAAATGCAATATAAAAACTATTCCAGATCAAATGAGTGTTGTACACCCAAGCATAAGTGTCATAGGTTGCCACAACCCAGCTTTTTAACATCCTAAGGAAGTTTGCTTCCACCAAAGAGGGGCACCCAGTCAAATGCTACAAAAGCTGAGAAGGCAAATTTCACAAAAGAGCATCCACAAATCAACAAGTAGAATTTACCCCAAAAAAACAGGTAGAGCCTATACAAGTGCTTAAAATGTTTATAAAGAAATAAAGGAAAATGTAGATTCATTTAATATGCATAGAAAGTTTAAAAATAAGAAAAAGTACAATTTTTACAAAGAAACAAGCAGATGCCCTAGAATTTTTAATGTCAAGGTCTATAAGTGAATAAATTCATAAATGAATATATTCTAACAGTTGCTCCCGGTAGCATTACTGGGATGGAGGAGCACATATGAAGAGAAACATGCTTTCTAAAGCCTGAATGATAAAATAATTTCAACAAAGAGAATGAATTTTGAACAGAATGGTTTGTTGAACTCTCTAATCTACAAGCAAATGATTTATAAACGCATGTTCTTTTTGATATTTGAGAGCAATACTTCAATAGAAGATGATTCTAAAATAGAATAAATTGGTCTTGTAGTTCTCTATTATCATAAGAAACTATAGGACTTTACTCTTTACAGACCATATAGGAAGCAGCTTATGATGAACGATTTAATTGGATTGGTTTCAGCTTGCCTAAAAGCTTAATGAGGTGTTAATATTATAATCAAAACTTTGGGAGAAATAGTTTTAGTGTAAAAGGAAGGAAAATTCTCTGTCTTACGCTTGTTTTAGAGATCCAGGAAGCTGTCAAGGAATACAAGGTAACTTCTAGAAAAACAAGCAGTGATGAAAGGTGGGTTGGCCACAATAAGCAAATTCCAATGTTTGCAGCAGACTAAAGGTTCCCAGGGCCTCATGGCAAATTTGTTCAGCTGTTTAAGACTACTTTTACCCATACATCTGAAGAACAGCAGCTTGGGATTTTTTGCCTTTTAACAATAACTTAAAGAGCTTACTGATAATAAACTATTTTTTTTTTAAATTCTCATGATTTTCTTACCAATGACTGTTCTGAGCAAGTGCTTGCCTGGTGTTCAGAACACAATAGTAAGGTTCAAATAAAATGTATCTACCCTTGCTATTTGAAAAATACATCCAGTGCTCTCACATTATGTTATTTAATTCTTATAATTATCATGTACAGTAAGAATCACTATTCTCATCTTACAAATGAAGAAACCAAGGCTCACATTCAGAGAACAAAGTAACTTACCCAGAGGCTTACCACATATTGACTAGTGGCACAGGGACAGTTCTATCAGACACGTTATTATTATTATTTTTTTTTACTCTCACTCCAAACCCATCTTCTTCCCTCAAGGGGAAATTGGTGCCACAGAATTCATGTAAGCCAGAGAGCCTAGGCAATACTTAGAGCAAGACTCAGAAATAAGAAAAAAAATGGGAGGAGATAGATCCTTCTGTGGCTCTTTAAAATTATTATTAAGCACACAAAAACAAAAATTGTACATGTACTGAGGTATTATGTAAGCTGTCAATATATTTATCCATTTTGTAATATTTAAATTAGATGCAATACACATGTCTCCTCTAATATTTCTCATTACAGTGGAAACATTCAAATTCTTCTGGCTTTTTGAGGTTGTATAGCACATGATCATTGTTTTATCACCCTACCTTGCGGTAGAACATTAAAACTTCTTCCTCCTGTGTGTCACTAGTACCCAGCGACTCCTGTGTCTTTCCCAGGTCCTCCCTGCCCACAATCCTCCTAGGAGGAAAAAAGCAAGATGTAACTGAAGTGAGTTTTCTCAGGCGCAGGACCAAGGCTCTGATCACATCCTTCTCTTCAGCTTCCTACGAAGGCTCTCCTACAACTTCAAAAGGAAAGGATTCCCACTATTTTGTCCTCAGTCTAAAGTGACTGCAATCATCAGAGAGCCAACTCTTCTACTCTCCTAAGAACTGTTTCTCTGGGGAAGCTTAGCGTGGCAGCAGAATGGCCCACGTCACCCTCATATCCAGAAATTCCCAGTGCATGTGCACACCCAGCACCTCCAGAAGGGCTATGCAACATCTGTGAACTTCCAAGAGCAGTTTCCCAGTGATGATCGTGCAGATGTTGGTAAGGAGGAGAAGCTTCAGCCGAAGACAGTCTCTACTCCATCTTGGCTGGCTGGACGTCTGACTTTGTAATGCTACCATTTTGGTTCCACACACACACTAGAATCCAAGTGCTTTCTTTTATTCCTTCCCCTCCCTGCACCCTTACACCCCATAATCCTGACTACACTTAGTCAACAACAAAGACAAAACATTCTAGGTGTGGTACCACCTTCAACATTCTAGAGATAATTCTGTCTTTAATGACCTGCTTCCCATAGATAGACTTGAATACCACGAAGAAAAAGATTGTCATTTTATTCATTTTGCATCCTTGATACCTGCACATAGTAGGTGTTCAGTGGACATTTGATAGATGAATGAATGCCTGTTTCATATGCTGTTCACACTTCTGCCTCTCTGTTCTTGCTCTGTTTCCGACCCCTACCATTTATCTCTGTCTTTCCTCCACTCTTAAGTAGGAGACAGCTTGTTTCCTCAAAGGGTAGGCAG